CCCAACATTAACATGTGGCTGAGTTGTACTCAGGAACCATCTTGAGTTCACCACATGAAGAAGCGCTCACCAGATTCTTTCTCCTCCCGTGACTGCCATACTGTGAAACTGCCAGCAGAACACCCGATTCCACAGCTCCCAGACACCACAGGCCAACAGCAAAGGGCTGCCAGGACGCACTGTCTGGAGTGATCCACTCAGCGAACAAAAGCTACTATGATGCTCCCGGCATGTTGTGGAGAAGATAACAAATTATAAAACAAGAAGCCATGGTAACACACTTTATTGAGCTGACTGCAATGCCAAAACAAAGAATAATCAGAAGAATACGCCTGTATAAGATAGGAAAGCATAAAATAACAGTGATGAAAATTCTCCCTTTTGGAAAGTAAGACATGGTAGAGTAATCTCATTCTCATCGCTGAACGCCTCGCACCTAGTGGAGCCTTAAATGGATCTTTTGATTTGACTAAGGGACAAATATTTATCTCTTTTAACTTTAGCTACCAGCAGTCGTGTTTAGGGAAAAGGCAAAGTAATATTTAGAAATAAACAAACCCAAGCTCACAGTATACAGAGGAAGTCCTCAGACACGTTCTCTGAGTCCAAGCAGCTCACCTATAAATATTGCTTGTTTGGCCAAGAAAGTCCAAGAACAGGATAGTGGATACACGCCCAGGGAAGAATAAATCTGTTTTTCAGTACAAACTTGCAATTTATTACAAGCTCCCCTGGAACTGAAGAGCCTTGGAATACTGAGTAAGGGCTATGAAGAGACATGCAATGCCATGTCACTATCTGGGGCACAGGCTGTGGCCTAGACCCTCCTGACCACTGTGCCAGTCCCCCAGCCAGCCGGCGGGACTCTCAATTCGATGCAGCAACACTTACACAGGAGCAAGAGAAATTCTAATATTCTGGCACGGCTGTCTCCCAGGCCAATTTCACAGTGAACAAAACTGGGAACAATTTCTCAGTTAACAAGAGGCCGTATCGTTTGTGAGATACATTTTGCTTTATATGAACTCAAAAGCAAGAACAAAAGCTGGAGAAATTGGAAAATGTTTGTTTTTATTTATGCTACTACCACAGATAACAGTCAATGTGGCACTAGGTGCAAAGCAGCTTTTAAATAAATTAAATGGTTATTTATTTTGTATCTTTAGGGTCACAAAAATCACACAAATCACAACACACTGCTTCCAAGTAATTGCTAATAAAATGCACACCAAGTCCTTGAAACTATTTATAAAATATAATCAGAAACTTCTGCAGAAAATTCTAACCAAAACATAAAATATTATTATTAAATAGGTATCATAAATACAAGAAAATAAAACACAAACTTCTTAGTCTGGATTCAAAACCTTTCAGAAGGATATTCCTAACCATTTAGGGAGGTTCTTATTCTCCAGGCCTCCTTCATAAGAATTCTGTTCGAGTTAAACTGGCCAATTTACACACTGCACCTACATTTCTTCTGAACATTTCCTGTAGCCGTTCTACCTCCCCAAAGGGCCCCTCCTTCAGCTATGCCCTCCCCTCTTTCTGGACTGCAAATTTCTGCCTAGCCCTGGTTAACCTTCTTTGCATCCCTCACAGCCCACCGTATTTATTCCCTTATGCATATGGAATGATTGCAAAAGCTAGCTATTGACTTGAATAAGCACTTCAACAATCTGGGGGCAGGAGAGGAGGCTTTCAGTTGTGTGAGCTTACAAATAATTTACCTACTCATAAAAACAAGTATTCTTTGAACACCTACTATGTACCAGTTACGAGGTCAGGGACAATGAAGAAGACCAAGATCAACTGACACAGATTTCCTTTCAAAGAGCCTAGAAGCTGGTCAGGGAAACAAGACCAGTACCCAGATCATCACCATCACTACCAGCTAGGCAATCATAAACACTCCACGATGGGTTCTGCTGGGATCACTCACACCACGGGGGCAGCAGAGGAGAACCGCAGGAGGCAGCGGCAGCTGGGCGGAACAGGCAGGAGACGGAAGACATGACTTCCTCAATGAGCGTTAACAAAGGCAAGGAGTGGGCAGAGCTCGGGAAGCTGGTGGAGGAAGCAAGGGGTGGCGGGTGATGCTTTAAAATTTGTAAATGTTGTTGAGAAAATGGAGCAAATGTGAACTTATTCATATTATGAATTAAAGGGGATTGAACATAGTGAGGAATTCAGAGGTCAGCACA